TAACCAGGAACTTCCAGAAATTCAAGCTGGATTCAGAAGATGACATGAAATGATGGATATCAGATGGATCTTAGCTGAAAGCAAAGAATATCAGAAAGATGTCTACCTATGTTCTATTGACTATGCAAAGGCATTCGTGTGGATCATAACAAATTATGGATAATGTTGTGAAGAATGGTATCTCCAGGTCACTTAATTAGAACTCATGAGGGACCTGTACATAGACCAACAAGCTGTCATTTGAATAGAACAAGGGGATCCTGTATGGTTTAAAATCAGGAAGAGTGTGCATCAGAGTTGTATCCTTTCACGATACTTATTTAATCTGTATGTTGAGCAAATCATCCAAGAATCTGGACTATATGAAGAAGAATTCAGCATTAGGATTGGAGGAAGAACCATTAACAACCTGTGATATGCAGATGATACATCCTTGCTTGCTGAAAGTAAAAATGACTTGAAGCACTTACTGATGAAGATCAAAGACTACTGTTTTCATTATGGATTAAATCTCAACATAAAGAAAATAAAAATCCTCACAACTGGACCAACAAGCAATGTCATGATAAATGGAGAAAAGACTGAAGTTATCAAAGATTTCATTTTACTTGCATCCACAGTCAATACTCATGGAAACAGCAGTCAGGAAATCAGATGTCACATTGCACTGGGAAAATCTGCTGCAAAAAGACCTCTTTAAAGTGCTAAAAAGCAAAGATGTCACTTTGAAGAATAAGGAGCACCTAACCAAAGCCACTGTATTTTCAATAGCCTTATATTCATGTGAAAGCTGGACAATGAATAAGGAGACTGAAGAAAAATTGATGCATCTGAATTGTGGTGTTGGTGAAGAATACTGAAAATGCCATTGACTGCCAGAAGAACTAACAAATCTGTCTTTGAAGAATGATTCTTAGAAGCAACAATGGCCAGATTTTGTCTCACATCCTTTGGTATGTGACAAGAAGAGACTTGTCTCTGGAGAAGGATATAATGCTTGGGAATGTAGAGGGTCAGGGGAAAATGGGAAAACCCTCAACTAGATGGATTGACACAGGCACTATAATGATGGGCTCAAGCATAACAAATATTGTGAGGAAGGCACAGGACTGGGCAATGTTTCATTCTCTTGCACATAGGTTCTCTGTAGGTTGGAGTCAACTCGACAGCACCTATCCACAACAGTAACAAGTGGTAATTGTTCTTGCATTGCATGGCTTGTTTAATGTAATCGCAGGTCCAATGTTGTCAAAGATTACGAATCTAGAGTTTGCTTTAGATTCTCTTATCTTTAACAAAACTAAAGCAGAAAGAAAAAGAATGGGTAAAATCTGAGTTCCTAAAGATAATTTTTTAAAGTGCTATATTTAGAAGATAATTTTGAAAGGAGATTAGTTCATTCCAATCAAATGAGTATTTACTTAATCTTTAAATTCCTTTGAGAAAGGAGAATATGCAGCATCCTTCTTAGCAGTACATCCTGAGGGCTGACAGACCACACTAGAAGAGGGAAAAAGACATTAATTTTGGCCTTAGGTGTTATTCCATCCAGAGCAATAGAAGAAACACACCAAACACAGCAAGTCTAAGTGAACCCAGTCATCCATCTACAAAAGCAGAGTCTATAGTAACTGAAGACAATGGCTATATCCAAATTCAGCTGTCATCTTGCAAGGGGAATCCACTGTATTTTGTTTGTCCCCCAATACTAGGTGTTTTCATA